AATCTATTATCTTCAAAGCTATACTCGAGATAATTGAACGTTCCTACCCGGTGTTTGTATGCAAATGACCTCGACCTCGGCTTTTTTGACACGACGCATAAGTTCCAATGAACTGCTTACTCCCGCCACTCGCTTCCGCCGATCGATCCCTGATGTCCATCGATTTCGTTGCAACGATCGGACACGCAGTAATCGGTAATCTTCCTCCTTCAAGTCATCACAACGAACACGATTTTACAACGGAATTTATCGAACGTTTGATTAAAACATTGTCGTAAATCCAGGAGAATAAAAAATGGTGAGTCCAGATTCAGTGGTAGATTAAGGGAAACGGTTTAAAATTTAACGAGACGTTCTATCAGGCGTTGAAGTCTCGAAAACGACGCGTAATATACCTGCGTCACGAATGATCCTTCGCGGCAGAAATAGAAGGATTCTTTTCCTTCGTGAACGTTTATATGCGTAGAAACAGGACGTTAATTCGTTTCTCGAAGGAAAAGAATGTTATTCTGCTCGATGGTGCCGACCGGTCTTAATATACGCAGAATTTTCATGCTGTGCAACTTTGAAAGTATGATCTATGGGTGAATAGTTCAAGATAACTGTATTTTTTCACATACAGTGGAAAGTCTATGTGGAATTTTGTTAACAGTGAAGTGAAAATATTGAGAAAAACCAGGAAAATTTCGTGACATTTAAAAGGAAATTTGTGCAAATGACAGTGAAATGCTTCGAGGGATCTCTGAAATTTGTTTGAATCAGTGATCGTGAGTGTCTTGCAAGGATTAAATCGATAAAAGTGAACTACTTGAGCAGCTGAAACAAAGAACGTATGTAGAATGTAGAGGTTTTTTTTCAACTTATGTCTTCATTGATTACGGAAATGTGATGATTTGCATGCATAATGAGGAGTTCTATTTATTCTGCTTGCTCTTATGACCCTGTTGAATATTGCTTTAGACGTATTAGACCATGCTAAAATGTACATTAGTACTTTTAAGAAAGAAAAAATATACCAGTAGAAAGAAGCGAAATTTGATATTCGAAATACTCTAATTGTTTCTTAATAAAATATTTTAATAGTACTTGATTGATTCAATTTAATACGCCGAATAATATATTTATTATAACAAGTCTGTTTCGCCTGAGTCAGAATTTCGATACAAATATAGCAAACCCGTAAGTCTAGTTTACATCATTCGTTTCAACGAAAAGGAATGTGGCTATCATAACCGCGTGGTCAACGCGGTTTTATTGCTTGCACGATCAAAATTATTCGTCCAAAAGTATCTCCCACGTTTCTTCAATTATTCTAAATTTCTATACTTATTTATACGAATAACCTTTTTTTAACTCTTGTACGGAGTTTGTAAAGTTATACGAATGAGTAAATTTTAGATAAATTCTGGACAAATTTCAGATAAATTGACACAATATAGGTATCATATGTTTGCAAGAAATTAGTATAAAAATAAAACTCAATTCATTTCATTATTACGGCTTAATATTGTAATGATATATTAAACTTGTAGAATATAATTTTAATATTATATTGAAATTGTCTGAAATATTATCGCTTGCTTTACCGGTTCTGGGCGAGACGATCAAATCTTTTTTTTCGCGTTAGGTCATTTGAGATATTGCACGAGCACGCCATAATATAAAGTTGTCTCTTGATTTATAATGTCTAGAATTATTACGTTCAATTCCTATGCGTTCATCTAAAGGAAAGCTGTATAAACTTTTTTCGAAATCTCAGCTTTCTTTACCTACTTCTATTTCTGTTACATAGTCCTCTTCTGCATCAGTCACGTCGTTAAAAATATCATCACCGTACTATAAATTTTATTATTTATTGAATTAGAAATACTACTAAGAATAAAAATAGCTGTTGCAAATATATACTGTTTGCTGGCACACCATCGTAGAAAATCAAATTGTATTTTGAAGCTATTTAGAATGTAAAGAATATCATGTTACACCAGTCTTTAGAAAACTCGAATTGAACTCATGATGGTTAAATTACGGCAAACAAAAGAGCATGTATGGTTCGTGACCAAAGCACACGCAACAGGAGTGTAATAAAAGATCATTAAAGTCATAATCACTAAAGCCACTTGCTACATATGAGCCATTCACAGGTTAAAGTGGTTAACTCCACTTTTTGAATTTTTTTAAAATTTTAGTACTAAAGCATTTAATTGATGCTTATCTTTTTATGTTTGAAATAAATTTTCTTAATAACTATGCTTAACACCAGTGAATGGCTACTGTTATGGCCATTGAATAATAAATAATTCATTTCAGAAGCCAATATGATTGACTCCATACTCTAAAGTAAATCGTTATAATAATGTAATTCAAACGTTTATAAGAATTTAACTAAGTAATTTTTTAATGCAACGGTATAAAAAATATTAATATTAATATTTATATTTGATGTATATAATTTCGTCAATTTTCTCTACTTTTTGTTTTGTAGAGTTAACCAATTTGGCAAACGAGCGGCTCATATATTGGATCAAATTGACCTATAAATTACATAAGTGTGTATGAAAAATATAATTGGTTTCCATTTAAAAAATCGTACAAACTTTGTTCCTTTTTGCAAAGATTATTAACGATTATTAGATATTTAAGGATATGAAAAAGTTTCAGTACAAGTGACACATTTAATAACAGAGAAAAAAGAAATTTCTAATTTCCGTACAACAGTTAAACAAGATGCGTTTTGTTCAGAAAATTTGTAAGTGTAAGGATTCTAATAGAAATTCTAATATTCAGAATTTTTCACTCTTAAAATTCATCTAATCTTCAAAACTCAGGGTCCCCTAGTAACATAAATTTAAACTCGAAGTATAGAGCTTAAATAAAAGCTTAATTACATAGAAAATTTGAAATTACCATGCAGAAATACAACACGCACTAAGCACACTAAATATTCGAAACTTTTCGTTTTCAATACTTATCTATTCTCCTAATTTATCTAAGTTCTCGAGTCACTTCATACATCAAGCGTTAATTGGAACCGTAATCATGAGAGTTTCACCCGAGAAGACTATACCACCTCTATCCCTTATAAGTTTTGCATTTTTCCATGGTAGTGTGGTTCTTAAAAAGGACAATTCTACGTTCAGTCGCGATAGAGCTGTGTGAAAGGCAACATCAACATCGTCCTTTCTCAACTCTCTAATATCAGTCATTGAACTGATTCAACCGAATCGATCGGTATTAAAGCCAGAATTTCCACTAGATATCAAATATCTCATAATCATTTCGTAAAAAGTTGTCTGACAACATCTTGAATACTCGAGTATTGTGTAAGTATTATGTATTGTTACGAGTGTGTAGTGCACTTTCGTTTTCAACAGGCATTTCCTTAATTGTTCCAAGTATCGATAACCCGATTGAATCTTAATGAGATCTGAGTGCAATTGAATTAGAGGATGGTTGATAGAAATGAGTGAATTGGTGATGATGTGTATCGGCTGTCAAAGAAAATCGATCGATTGTGAACTGACAAATTAGAAGAACATCGATGTTCAACGTGTTGAATGGAGCATAAAAGTGAAATTTCTGTGATTTATATTAGTAAAAATGAGAATTATTAATTTTTCGCTATTTACATTCTTTGAAATTTTTCATTCGATGACATTTACCTGTTAGAAATACATATCTTTAAAAAATCTTCGGTTGCGCCACTGAATAATCACTGTATTAACTCTTTCCGATCAAACCCCAGGATATTCCCGGCAAGATCGCGCGCCGGGATATTCTCGGCAGAATTTTGGCAACGAATCATGACACTGCTTACCTTATCACACTACGCACACACTTCCAAATGCTTTGCGAAACCTTTGTCTGCAGGAATAGTCTTTCAGTTTGTTTTTTCAGTCAATTGAGATTGTTCTTTCAGTGAGTGGAAATCGTTCTTTCCGATCAGACAGCAGACTTACATTAGTATTTCTGATATTTACTGTTTTTTCATTATTTAGTGGTTCATTTATATTATTCATTTACATTATTTTTTACGTTTGTAAAACTTATACCCCGAAATGTCTAAAAGGAGACGAGATCCTAGTGAATATGAAGATATGCAAAGTAGTGATGATGAATATTACCTATACGGATTATCACGACAAGCCTGATAATTATATTGACGATGATGACTGCAATGACGATTATAATGCCTAAAATAATATGTAGGTACATAGCGTAGGTACTACCATGCCTACGGAAAATACCACCGGAAAGAGTTAATCAACATATTATTCTAATTTATGGATTTAATTTTTTCTACTGACGCGAGTATTGCAATAAGTGAAATTTAACTAAAAACAATAATAGAATATTAAAGAAATTCACTGTTTTCCATAGTCATTTCTGATAGAAAAAACTGAATCCTTAATCACTCTGTGGTGGACAATTACAGTGGTGGACATATACTTACGAACATGCGAATAATTGTACTTTCGTTATCTCTAGTATGGTATTAAACGTATGTATTTATAATTAAGTGTAGTGGCGGCTAGTCCACAACGGCTGCACCCCCTCCAGTATAAAACGAATGTTCCTATTTTATTACCGTCGCGCCGCTATTAAATTTATATATGTATATGTATTTATTTAAAAATCGTTATTTTCTTGTTTATAATACAATACCACTTTCTAAATAACTACCTTTAGTTTTATTAATGATATAATTTTTTCAATCCATATTGATCTTTTTTATTTTTATTGCTGCAGCCCGATCATTACAAATTCTTACGAGCCGCCACTGATTAAGTTCATTATATTTTTTATATGTCTGAGGTAGGTATATGTGACAATTCTGTTTTATATTACTCATATAACTTTGATATTACAGACTATAGAGTACGTTTCGCCTTAAATTTACTACATTGTCGCGGACACATACTTATAAACACTGTTAACAATTTCTTGACTCGCAGTCAGTTCTCGCTGGTTTGTTCTCATGTTTAAACAGTGTACACGCTGAATTCAAAAGTACTGATAATGAGTAAAGGGAAAAATACAACACCAGAGCAACGGTGCCAAGCACAGCTTCTTCGAAGGCAAGGACAGACGTATCGGAATGTTCCACAACAACTGAGAACATCTCTTCAAGCCTGTCGCAAAGCTATGCAACATATAAATATTTATAATACTTCAGAACACATTCCTCGTAAGTCGAAACCCTATAAAACAGGCAATCGAACAGATCGGTTGAATCACCAGCTTTCTAAAGCCAACTATTCTAAAACTACAGTTGATATTTACGGTGAAATTGTTCAACCCCGTTTAGACAAATTGAACCTAGTGGGTAGAGTTGCACGAAACAAACCACTGATTCTGAAGAAAAACCAAGTGCTAGACTTCAGTTCGCAAGAAACCACCTTAATTGGGCAGAAGAACAATGGTCAAAAGTTGTATTTGCCGACGAAAGTAAATTTAATCATCTTGGAACGGATAGCAAAATTTACGTAAGACGTCGTATTGATGAAGAATGTAATGAAAAATGCATTAAACCAACTGCGAAAAGAAGTGGTGAATCGGTGCTCGTTTGGGGCAGTATGATTACGAGGTGTTATCAAAAAGAAACCGGACTGGGTCGATAAAAGTTTTATTAATCAACCAACCTAAATTTGGCTTCCGTCCCCTTCGGAATAATCCCTTTCTGCTTTGACACAGCGATCCTATTGGTTACGCGTTAAGCACCTGCTGCGATTCAACTTGTACCTCTTCCACAGAGTCGAAACGCCGCCACTTGAGCTTCGATTTCATTTTTGGAACTAAAAAGAAGTCACAATGGGTTACTCGTCAGATTTCACCCCTTGTGACTTCCGATAATGGTACTGGTCCTATTCATCGTATTAAGGAAATGATGGATTGTGTTGTTTATTTGAACATTACTAAAAATGTTCTTTTTCCCTTTACCGAAGATAAATTGTCCCAAGATTGGACTGATCAGACCGATAACAATCCAAACCACACAGCAAAAATCATAAAACAATTATTGGATGAAAGAAAAGTTAATATTTTGAAATGATCGGCACAAAATCCGGACTTAAATTCTGTAGAGATGCTTTGGATCGATGTAGATAAGGAAATAAAACTTAAAGAAAAGAAGAAGAAGAAAACAAGAAATATCAATGAATTACATACAGTAATAATGCATGATTTTTTTATTCTCGTTAATCGAAGTGTTCGTTTAATAAAATCTACCCAAAGAAGTTGTGCAGCAGTTATTAAACAAAATGGCAGAATGACAAAATACTAACGTCACAATAAATTGAAACAATATTTAATGATATTTTTGTTTTTAAAAGTAGTGCTAATACATCGAAAGTATATCGTTCGTAAGTTTGTGTCCATAAGAAAATACATTAAAGCTATTATTGTTACTGTTATCTCTTTTAATGCTTAAGTTAATTTAAAGTTTCTTTGCATTTTTAAAATATGAAAATTAACGTAAAAAAAGTCACCATGAAAATTAATTTACTTCCATCCTATATGACATTATAAATAATAAAATTTAATCTACGAGGTGATCGTAAGTATATGTATGTGCGCCACTGTATGTACATATGTATGTACTGGATGAGTCTCGTAACATACAACTTCAAATACATATCTCGTTAATTATTTGCTGTACAGAAAAACGTTTCCGACAAAAGTTTCATGATTTCCTGAGAGACATGCAGTACTCTAATCGATTTCTTATTTCTTTTTTTTTTTATCGAGATATGAAGGTCACCTTCAGTTTTTTAAATTGAACGTCTAACATTTTTTCTCGAATTTGAATAAAACATCTAAAATTAATACTTACTGAGATATTCTTAAATTAATTATCTTGTGTTAGAAAATACGTTCAGATATTTAAAATATTACGAGACTCACTCAGAATCAGTATATCGGAAAAGTATGGAAATTTATTCATCGATAAATCCATCTTGTTAACCTTGCGTAAGTACTTTTTGCACCAACTGTTTACACTTTAATTATCGTGTATAGGAAGCGGTGACAGTCGATATGGGCAACACGACGCAAGATACAACCTCTACGGAGACGAAAGATGAGAAAATGTCAGACGCAGAAGAATGTCGGATTGATATGCAAAAATTGCTGGACGACAACGAGTTTAGTAAGTATTTCTAACGAGCTTAACTGTGACTAACATTCTAATTTCTGTGTGAAACGCCAATGTGATCATACTGAATGATCATCGTGGAGAAAGTAGATAAAATGGAAAAATAGTAAATAGTCTCTTTTACTTTAAATCGCGCGTATAACTGTGAAAATAAAATAGTTTATTTATTGCAATAACTTTTTAAAATAGTACCTAGAAATAGTATTTTATTTGAAGGATATTGAAAATATTCGGGTTTCATTTTCAGATATTTTATTTCGTTTAATTTATTTTCAGTTTATTCGTAATTAAGGGAGTAGCCTAAGCGATGGAAATTTTGAGCAATGTAGTACTTACTTTCTTATATGCGAATAGTCGTGCTTGAACTAAAAATAAATTTACTTTGCCAAATATTATGATTTTTAGTGTTATACTATCATTTCCTTTCGCAATTTATTTTCATTGTCAAGGACTGTTTGAAGTATATTTTTGAAATACAATGTTAAAATATTTCATTTCATGCTTAAGGTTACGAGAATAAAAATATTTTATTTACCAAAATTTCACTTCCTACTTAAAATAGAATTTTATTGGAATTGTATAACATCTATTATTTACAGTAGTACAATTTCAAAATATCTTCTCTCTAAATTTTCCCCAGCTTTGCGTATAAGAAATGTCCATCTTGTTCACGAAATATTTCGAAAAAATTCAAAATAAACATAACAAATTCTAATAGTTCTTCAATTTCGATGCGACTATTAACTAAAAATTCTTCGAATTAAATTTTCTGATTCCAGGATCTAAATTCCTTTAAGTCTATTTCACCTATTTTAAATGAACTAATTACAGGAAATGATATTCTCTATTACCGAATATTAAAATCTATGAGGTTACGTAGTGTAAAAAAAAATTCTATCAATAATATAGAACAAATCGATGTACGGAAGTAGGTACATATATACAGTGATGCTCGCGGTTAAATTAATGTAAAATCTGCTCGGTTAAATTTTCACTGAATCATTCACACTCTTCCCCCACCACTCAATACCTCGAGCTCGGCAAACGTAAACATATCGACAGGGAAAGTGAACAGATGTAGCGAAAGTAAGCGAGACGCAGCATTTGAAATGAACACCACCTGCGTTGCAGTGAATCAGCTAATGCTAAAAATTTCAATTTCCATTGTTGGATTATTAGGAGAAATGAGTATGCGTCTGTGTAATAGTAATAGCAAAAATGATCAACATACTGAGACAGATTAATATAAATATATATATATATATATAGAAATAACATAGTAACCATCTGTTTAGTATGGGTGACGCTGATACGTTTTTTTTTTCTCAGCGTCTTGTCTATGTTTTGTTTGATTGATTGCATAGCGACGTGCCTTCCTCGCGTATCAGAATAAAGAAGATTTATAATTAAAACAATATCTTTTATTTATTACCATAATTCTAATCTGGAATATTTAAATTGATGACTTGTAAAACTAGTCCGATTTACGTCGTGTTTGAGCTCTGTATCATCGGGAGAATCTCGTCAATTCATTTCTCACTACTTTCATAAAGATAGGACGAAAATTAGTGAAATTGAAAATTTTTCGCATGATAACCATCGTTCTTTGTTCCATCGTGCGGAAAAACCACGTCAAGTTATATCATTACTTTTTTCTTTACTGTAAAGCATTTTAAACATTTATTAAGCATGCAGAACTCCCCACATTTTGAGAAAGAAAATCTAACGCCAAAGACTTGTTTAAATTAAATTAGTTCAATGCAATGTTTATAAAATAAATTGACATAAGTACTCTCAGTAATAAATAGTACATTGTTTTTTTTGTTACTGTTTAAGGTCATAATGGCATAGGTCGTTAAACTCGTCTTGATGTTAGCTATGAACGTCGCATTATAAATAACCTGTTAACACGTAAAAAAACATCGATGATTTTGGAATAACCTTCCAGATAACCTTAGATGAACCTTGTTTCTTATTACCAGATGAAGTTTTAAAAACAATATAAACTCTTCTTAATCATTTTCTTTTAATTATTTTCAATACCAGCGGAGATAATTTAGATGTTCATTACAAGTGAGGTACTCTGTACAAACCTCATTCGCTATTATCATTCACAAAGTGTACTCATTTCTACATTATAATATCAACATTAAATAATATCGGTGGTACTTTTATATTCAAAATCATTTTTCTTGGAAACTAAGCAAGCAATCAAAAAACTTTATTCTACATTATTTTACTTATTTTTGTATAAGAAATCACCCCCTTGCCGGTTGTACGATTTACCGGACACCATGTATACATCCTTCGGTCTTTACGGTTACTGAACGAATGTTTGTCGTTTCGATAGTACACGTAATGGTAATAACGTGGAGAAAGGAGGAAATAGGTAATATATGAAAGCGTTCGTACAAAAATAGAGTTTCCTGGTGATAATGGATATTAGGATTGGAAGGTTAATGACAAAATAACCAAAAAGACTTGTACAAATATATCCAGAAAAAAATATTGTTCATTGACCGATGTACTTGCAATCCTAAATATTCACATCGATAATGTCATTTTATCTACACACAAATATGCTTATCTCTGGAAGTGTAAAGTACAAGCACATATCATGGATATGGAAATATTAAAATTTGAAGTATTAACGTATTCACTTGTTACTTGTTCGAAGTGGTCTCTCTTTAATAGGAGATTTTTATCCCAGCAAATAACTCATGCATATAAAGATTCGTGTTAGAACCAGTTACAACATCCGATGCATTGAATTTATAGTAGTAAATTATTTTCTTATCTTGAAATATATTTAACAAAAGGGTAAAGATAATTTTCTGTGTAATACATTCATACAAATACATAAATAAAGGCAAATACACCTGTCTTTACAATAGAATTTCAGTAATTTTTTAGAATTTGCTAAAAAATCTAAACTTTTGAATACTTTTTTAAAATTTCACCCAAAAATCCTAATGGTTTTTATACTCTCTCAGAATCGACCAAATTTTTTAACAGTTTTTTTTAAACCATCGACAAGATTTTACGATTCTCCAAGAGATCTTAAGCTTTCCAACATTATTTCGTGTTCTGACAGGTACTCTAAATTTTCAAAAAATTGGAAAACAACAACGAGCAATAACAGTTTATTTCGCGCTGTCGCCGTGCTTTCTCGCAGGCGCAAGGATCACCGAGCTATAGCAAACGCGATTGTTATAAGAAGCGGCTCAGAGCTCGTTTAAATTATTTCATCTCGCGATTACGACCGAAGAAGGTTCGTCACCGCTCGAGTCCACGTCTGCGAATCATACGATAGTGTAACGCGGTCCAGTGACATTACGCCTGTGTGAAAAAGCGGTGGTTATAAATAAACCTAGCGTAAAGATAAATAAAGTGTGTGTACACCGAGTGTCAGCCCACGACTACGCTTCATTCGTGAACGTGAGGTGCGTGTTGAACATTTTGCAATTTTAAGTAAATTCAGAAATCATTACAAACGTGAAACGATTTTCAACGATGATATTAATTTAAAAATTTATAGTTTCTATTTTTATGTGGAATGTAACAAAATTATCTCTCACAGTTGGTTCGCATCTATTTCAGAAAATTTGACTTTACAGTGAAATTTAACTTTAACTTTATTTAACTTTATAATTGTTTCTTATTCATTTTAGAAAATTAATAGAACGTTTACGAGTACATTAAAAGCCTACTTAACAACACAGCACATAAACGGCGTCAAACCAACATGGACACATACATATACAGTTAATACAAAAAGTCTTAGAATCTGTTTAACGTTGCATAATTTCAACAGAGAAGGTGGTAAATAAATAATATTTGTAATATTTTATTTAAAACCATAACATTTACACTTAGTACAAAGAAAAGTGATTTACATTCATTTGTTACCAATTAAACAAGTAAATATAAATACTTAAATATAATATTATCGGCAAAACATTTATGTCGAAAATCTCGCCGCTGTCGAGACTATACAGAGTGTTGATGACATTTAAACCACACTGTAATGTGAATATGCCTATGCTGGTCTAACACTTTGACTGCCACGTCGTCTGAATTCAGGTGACAGTTACATACATATATATTGCCTAATCATGCCGGGTACCCCAATCAATTCGCGAACGATTTAAGTAGGTATTTAGAAGAATATCCAACAGGATAGAATAGGACTAATAAATTATTATAAATGCAACTTTATATAGTTTTATTTCAAAAATGGTTTTGAATGTAAAGTTGTAAAGCATTGTATACACAGCGGAGGTTGAACACGGCATTTTGGACAAAAAGTCCCTTTTAGGCTTTCTTTTGCCTTTGACCAGCTCACGAAGAGTCTTTTATTTGCATAATATAATTTACATGCACGTCGAATACTTTACCCAGAAGTATTTTTTCGAATCGCAATATTATGCTGATTACGTTTTAAATTAGGGAGAGATTGTGTTACATCTGCAGGCAGCTGTATGTAATAGTTGTGCAGCTAATAATTCTCTGAACCGTCTGGTTTTTATATTTTTCTTTGTTGCTATTTTGTAAATCGCGAAAGTGTTTACAACTGAAATTCCGGGGAGAAGTTGTATACCAAGTTTCCGCGATCATTTCAATCCTTTCCCAATTGTAGTGGCATAAAATACCAACTGACCTGAGTGATCTATGCCACACTTTCCTGAATTCTATGCAAAAGCAACCAATGCTTTCAATTTTCCGAGGAACTGTTGGCTAGTAGTAGCAGCATCAACGTTATGGATATTCTTTGAATTTTGTATCATGATGGGAGCATGCTTTATCGATAACATTCTTACATTTCTAGAATCTCTCCATTTCAGTACAACGATACCAATGTTATCCTCTTTGGATACTATCTCTCCTTTTTTTAACTTATATTCAAAAACATCTCTTGGGATGAACTTTCTGTTTGATCTAAGTGTTCCAACTATATGAGTCTTCTGTTTTAGACATAATATAGCCAATTCATAGCTGTATAAAAATGATCGGTGTAGAGCGTTCATCGTTGATGGAAAAGCTTATTTGCAAATTGCAGACACACATTGTGTGCTAATCCTGTTTCTCTAATACCGCTTGCTAACTTTCCAGAGTAGATTTTTATTGACCATATACTATATCCTTCAGGTGAGCATAGTTTAAATAACTTTATCCCGTATTTAGGAGTTTTCTTTGGTATATATTTTTTGAATATGAGTCTGCCGCGCCATGGAATTAATGTTTCGTAAATGACAATGTTTTTGCCAGGTGTGAATATTTTTTGATATTTTTTCCCGTAATATCTCAAAAAGGGAAAATACTTTTCCAAGTCAATTACTTTGGGCAATGGTAGTATTATCAACAAAATGTAAATTACTAATTGTTAGTAATAATTCGAATCTGTTTCGTATAGGAGTGTGCGAGCCGTCGTGGCCGTGTGCTAATGTCGATTATATGTTGTGCTATTAAGGCCCAACTCATACGGACTACTGTAGAACCACACCACAGCCACAGAACGGTGTTTGGGATAAAAAGTGGTCGCGAGTGGCTGATACAAGCGACACCTCAACCATCGTTTTGTGACTGTGGTGTAGTTCTAAAGTGATCCGTCTGAGTTGGGCCTAAATGGCATTATGATGCGTTTCTAACTAGTATTTATGTTCGCGTTACGAGTGTACGTAAGTACTACCCGCAAGAACGTTTGATTCGCATAAACAAGAAGACGGGAGTTTCCTCTGTCTCTTTTCCTCTCACGTACCGTGTTACGCAAACGCTTTTAACAAATCCAAACAACAGCACAAAAACTACGCTATACTAAAATTTCCTCTACGTGTGTTATGTTTTTCAACATTCTATTCTTTTATGTTACCTTAAAAGGGAAATAACGCTACAAATCGCCGGAAATTAAGTAAACAGAATGAGCTACGTAAAAATTAACGTGGAACCGTCGGTGAAGTGCTATGATAACCATAATGGTAGGAATTTTGTGAAAATATGCAATTAAATTCGATGCACTGTGGCATGTTTCAGTACACTGTTGTAACAAACAGATTTTTTCAATGATTGTTAATTTAGTATGATTTAATATTGAATGTCTTATTTGTCCCCTATGAACCACCACAACGTTTAAATTTCGTGCACATTCGAACGTGGAAAAATGACACTATGATTCTGTCTAACTGGTACGATTACTTTGTCGTAAATATTTAATTCTAAACTATAATAGTATAAAATAATACATTTTGTAATATTACTCACGTATACTAATGACAAATTATCGAAGATTTAGATTGATTCATGGCCAACAGGAATCTGAAATCAAATTTTAAGAATCATTAGTACTTCGTTCGACCAAGCAAACTCGCTAATTTTTTTACTAAATTCAATTACAAATTAAAGTATAAAATAACATGAATATAAATTCAAAGTAACATCTTATGAAAATTCTACGTATTTAAATTAATATAATAAATCGATAGAGTACCTATCTGATTGATCGTAGACCTACGATAACTTTATAAAATTTCAACCAGAAATATTACTTCTCCTAGCACATATCGCACAACACAATTAACTTATTAAACTATTTTTTCGTTTACAATTTGAAATACTTTGCATTTACAATATCTGTATGGTTCACAAAAGTAAAAAAGTACCGCCAACGCACTATTGTTTGCCATCATGGACTAATAATAGATTGATTCTATGTTCAAATTAAGGATTTCTCTTTCAAATCGATGTAGTGCTGACATCTGTAAATATGCTTACAGTGTCTTCTTTACCGTTTAAGGGATACGTGTAAAGTAACTACTCTAGATGAGGTCTATACCTCGTGAAACTCCGATTTTAAAAAACTATATTTTACTGTGATAATTGTGATTTTTCTATTTTTTTTCCAACGTTCTCCGAATCATGAAATGTGCATATGTCATTGAGTCTCATTGATTCTTATAATCTCGGAATCCTAGAATTAAGCGAACGCACAGCAAAAGCGGTTCTATGTGAAATGGTATCGTATGACATTCGCTATTGTACGCATCGTATGCTATTTCACATAGAACTACCGCTGTTATACATTTGTGTTAGCACTAGAGTTTCGGCATGAATCACTAAACTCCCATATACGTATACATATAAATACGTAATGCAGTAGAAGAACGGTAGTGTTGCCAATCATATAAAATTGTTTAAATTTTAATGTTAATTGTTTTTGTTTTGTATTAAACATCGTTTAATTTTACCGCTAAAAAGCAGCAGTGCGTTTTGTTTCTTGATGTGCAAACTGATTGTTTATTATTATTTATATTACTTTTTAATAAATAATTATTGTCTGCTAACTAGCGCAGATGACGTTTACGTTATTATCGGAAAAACTAAATATCTTTTTTATCATTTTATCATAGACAATTTGATACGTATTCCAAGAAAGATAAAAGCTTTTTGAATCGTTATCACCAAAGATTACAGTCATGTACGTTCTGCAATTCATGTTCATGCTTTAGTTCACATCATTTTTCAAGTCTGTCATTCACAAAATTAAATGTTGGCAGCAGTAAATAGTCTATATATAATACTATATGTATATATGTAATAACAATTGAAAGTTATCACAGTTCTGTGCTATAGATACAAGGTAGGTATGAAAATTGAAGACGAAATTTTATTTCGGCTAGAAATACTAAATACTATTATGTATTAATGCATATGAAAAATATGTATTCATATTTTTTTATAAATTTTTATTGATTGATTCATTGATCTGTTTGATCAAATTTTATCCAAAAATAACTGTAATAATGAATTAAGAACATCTACTGAAATTAATTATACATTACGTCTTTTCAATATTTATGCGAGTACTAATTGGTTTATCCCCGTTTTGTTGTACAATCGATATATTTGTTTTACATTTATTATCATTCAAATGAAGCCTCCTTTATTTTATGGTTTTTGTTTTCCATATATCTGAATTAATTAATCTTTTTTTTACGTCAAGCAACATGACTAACTTTCATCACTACATTTATGATTAATGCAATTTATATGAGTGATAATTAAGTTATGTTACATGTAGGATTGTGTATAATAAATATTTTTAAATATGTCAGTAGAATGTGTATGATAATAAGATTATACTTTGAATGTGCCTTTCTTAGAATCATGTATTTATAGCAGCACAAAGCTTTATTCATATTTGTTCAGAAGCTATATTACCATGATTCATATGTAAAATTTAGATATATAAATAACTTTAATCCTTTGTCTGTTAAGTTACCAGTTTGAATATTGAATAATAAGCACTATTGGATTGTAAATGCACTGAAGTATTCATAGTTATTGTTATTTATTCACGTTCTCTTATTTCAGTACAAACTAATGGAAACATGATGGCAGACTATACAGGTGTAAGTACATCTGCATTAATAATAAAAGGCCTGCTTATTAACATTATTGTCTTCCTAAATTTACAATTTCTTTCCAGCTTGTTGAACGTACAAGAAATGCATTTTATAGTGGCAAAACAAGACCACTAGAATGGAGGATAAAACAATTAAAACAGGCACAACTTATGATAAAAGAGTGCAGGCAGGATATCTTATCTGCTCTTACTTCTGACCTACGCAGAGTTTGTACAATATTTACCTATTTCCTAAGTCCTAGTATTATGTATGCATATTTCTACATATCTAAATAACTTATTTCTTATTTTAGAGTAAATTTGAGTCTATTGCTTTAGAAATACAAGTTGTAGAAAAGGAGATCAAACACTTGCTTATGTGTCTTAAAGAATGGGCAGCTGATGACAAAGTACGTTTAACATTTATTTCATGTACAGTTACCTAATTTGAATACCTTTAACCATTTCTATCTTTTAGCCTGCAAAAGAAATGGTCAATCTACTTGATAAAGTTCAAATTAAGAAAGATCCATATGGTGTGGTCCTTATTATGGGACCATGGAATTATCCTTTCCAGTTATGTGCAGTTCCTCTGATAGGTGCACTAGCTGCTGGAAATTGTGTTATTCTTAAGCCATCAGAACTATCCCCTGCTACATCAAAACTTTTTTCACAAATCATTCCAAAATATCTGGACCAAGTATGTATTGCAAATAAATTTTATTTTTTAATTGGAATACAATTATAGGGAAATATAGACATTCCTTATACATATTTCTAAATGATTTACCTTACATTGTTTGTAGGAATGTGTTCATGTAGTGTTGGGAGGTATTCCTGAAACGACAGAGTTACTCAAACAAAGGTTCGATTATATTTTCTATACCGGTTCAACTACGGTTGGAAAAATTATACGCGATGCGGCTAATAAATATTTAACACCAGTTACGTTAGAACTTGGTGGTAAAAGGTAAACAATTTAGTTTTATACATTTTATAGTATAAGAAAGGTAATAAATAATTATGACAATTTGCAGTCCTGTATACATAGATAATACAGCAGATCTCGATGTAACTGTTAAAAGAGTACTTTGGGGCAAATGTATTAATGTCGGGCAAACTTGCATTGCACCCGATTACATACTTTGTACTCCCGAAATTCAGAATAAATTCATAAAAATAGCAGAAAGAGTTTTAAAGGAATGGTACGGTGACAATCCTAAAGAAAGTCCAGATTTATCACGTATAATTAACGAGACTCATTATCAGTAAGTATTTCATTATAAAATTTGTTTCACATACACTTTTCATTATATATGTGTACTTTTACAGCCGTCTCGTAAAATATTTAAATGATGGTAAAGTTGTATTAGGAGGTATTTGTGATGCCTCCGAAAAATATATCTCGCCAACTATACTTGTTGATACCAAGCCTACAGATCCTGTGATGCAAGATGAAATATTTGGCCCTATATTACCTTTTTTAAACGTGAATAATGCTTATGAAGCGATTAAATTCATAAATAGTCGGTAAGTACTTTTTTAACATTAAATTGCACAACAATCTCTTAAAGAAGAAATTCCACAACAATCATAAATTTTTATCACATAATTGATTACCAGAGTTATGTGTACACTGAAAATTTATAACTATACGATAAATATCAATGATGCAATTTTGCATATTTATCTAAAAAATAACGTGTCGATTAATTTTTTACGTTTAGCGAGTCTCCTCTCGTATTGTATATATTTTCCAAGGACAGGGGAGTTCAAGATTTATTAATAAATCAGACTCGTAGCGGAAGCGTGACAGTGAATGATACGATCATGCAATATTGCGGTGAGTCGGGATATTAGGCGACGAATATTAGATTGCTTATTAATGCATTTGTTTAAATCCTTTGAATCTACGAATTCCTACTCTCTAGTAATAGTATGGCAATTAATTTAATTTTTTATTAACTACTTTCTTTAGACTTTAATAACTTTTGATTAATTTTACAAATTTTTATTTAAAAATAAAATATATTTACAATTATTTATAAACTTTTAAAAAGTAAGTCTAATTACATATAAAACTTAAACTTTAGCATGTTTTAATTTTGTTTTGTTTACTAGTATGGGGTTATTTGAAAATGAAACATGGTGTTGGATTTTTATCGTGTTATCGGATTGCGTTGGCGCGTAAAGTAATCAAGAATTAGGCGTTGTATATATTAAATTTTTAAATGTTGGTGGTGGATGAATAGAAAACAAAATTGTAGTCAGTCCATAATATTTGGAGTACATTACCAATCATAATTATGTACACAACTTTTAACCTGATAAACTGTAGTGTTCTTTTTTTCATGCATGACTTTCATACTATTCTATAAACGCATTTTTTAGATTTAGAAATACTAGTTGCATAAAAGAAATTATCAGTTGTCTTTGTTACTCCTATATTATACTGGGTGAGTCTCGTAACATAACGACTTAAAATATCTCGAAAAATATTTGCTGTACCAAAAAATGTTTCAGACAAAAGTTGCGTGGTTTTCTGGGGAACATGCAGTACCCTAATCGATTTCTTATTTCTTTGTTTTTTTTTTATCGAGATATGAAGTTAACCTTCAGTTTTTTAAATGGAATGCTTAACAGTATTAATTTTAGACCCTATTTCATGTAACACCTTTTTATGTAGAATTCGATATTTTATCCAAATTCGAGAAAAAATATTAAGCATTCCATTTAAAAAACTGAAGGTGACCTTCATATCTCGATAAAAAAGCAAAGAAATAAGAAATCGATTGGGGTACTACATGTCCTCCTGAAAACCATGCAACTTTTATCTGAAACATTTTTTCGTACAACAAATAATTTATGAAATATTTGAAATTGTTATGTTACAAGACTCACTCAGTTTATCATTTATTATATTCTAATTAATTTTTACATAGATTCTGCTTTCCTAAAGATTATAGTAAATTTTTAAATCATTGAACTTAGTTTGTCATTTTTAATTCCATGTAGTGAATCCTCTCACATTGTCCATTCGCTGTTCTTACGCTTGGGTATGCGTTATTCTTACGTCTATGTTATGTTTCTCGAAGTTAATATGATGCGCGACGCGGGGTTCTTTTGATGAGAGTTCACGACTTGACAGTTCTTAATACAATAATATAACTTTTTCAATTTTACTATTTTTTAACTGAAATTTTTTTTAATATATTGGTGAGATTTTTCTGATTAAAATGAGATCGAACATAATATAATTTGGACCACATTGGCCTTCACATTACCCATAAAACGTAGTCCCTCTCTCTGCATTGTCCGTAGAACGTAGACCGTGTCATCACATTGTCCGTCAAATGTAGATTGTGCCCCCACAATGTCCAGACACAGTTTATGCATTCGACGGACAATGTGTACAGATATTTCATGTATTTTTCTAACAATCCGTTTTTGTAATTCATTCAAATTTATTATGAAATGAAATGACTTACTCAGTAAGTATTAATAAGTAAATGTTGCTCAATAAGTATTAATAAATAAATGTTGTTCAAATTATATCGTGTTTGATCTCATTTTGATTAGAACAATCTCATCAATATGTTATCAACTTATTCGTACAAAAACAGTTAAAAATAAAAACGCTGATGTTTAAATCGCTCGGTTGTCTCGACTTTCGTTTTATTCTTCTCTCTTATTCGTTGTCCTTGTCTGAACTACAAAGGCTAGCTGTGGGGTTCAAAAAACAGTATTCCTCTACTGAAACTGTCCCTATTCGGTTCCGACGTAAGGGACAATGTGAGAAGCTTTACTGTAGTTCACTCTGACCATTGTGTTAAAGGCGTTCATTTCCCCGTCAATCTTGAGTTACGCTTTTGAATGGTAAATCATAAATTATTAAATATTTCATACAGGGAGAAGCCATTAGCATTGTATATATTTAGCAACGATAGCAAAAGTATATCGTTGTTTCTTGACAACACAACCAGTGGTGGTGCTTGTATTAATGATATAATGATGCATGCAGCAGGTATACCCTATGTTATAATAAAACATATACTTAATAACACAGAGTTCTTTCTTAGCACTAATCTGTGTAGTACTAAAATATGTAAATATTTTATATCATTATTTAAGCTTACAAGGGAACATCCTTATGTGTCATTCACCAGTTTTGATGAAACTACTCACTATATGATGTAGTTCTCAAAAAAATATTTAACACATATTTTTTTTTATCAGGCATCATTCATGTTGAGGGGATGAAAACAGTGTTTAAAATTGGTGTGTCAACACCAATTTGGTCCAATATCTCGGAAACTATTAGAGATAGAGGAATGGTTTAAATGTAGAGATTGTGTGTTTCTCAATAACAAATTCAACTATGAAATTACTTTTTAGAAAAATCCATTTGTTTAAATGATATATTAAAAATTCATACTTTTTTGTTAATTATTCATGCGAGATGTTAATCCATTTTCATGTAAATTTGTGTACAGATACTATTGGCTCAAGTACAAAATACGGTTAAATGGAATTTTGACTTTTTGCATTGTAATACAAAATTTTTATATTCGTAAAACAAATGGAGTTTTTAAAAACTAATTATATGGATGTAATCGTCATTGTAATAGTTTCCGAGATGTTGGGACAGATTTTAATACCCTATCTTTCAAGGCTGTTTTTATCCTCTGTGAATATGAATGATGGCCGATAAAAAAAAAATACGCGTCAAATATTTTTTCCAGAAATACATCATACGTAAATTTCGTCAAAAGCAGTGAGTGACACTTAGGTATGTTCCTTTGTTAGTACATTTTTTGCATGTACTGTACCCTTTTTGTTCAAGTAGTGTTCTTTTATATTTTTGTACAAGTAGTTTCAAGTAGCATTTCCGCTTTTTGTATTTTGTATTTTGTAAAATAATAGTCGCTAAACAAATGTATCTGAACATTTACCTTGCAGTTGATACTCTACCATTTGGTGGTGTTGGCTATTCTGGCATGGGATCTTATCATGGAAAATATACTTATGACACGTTTGTGCACAAAAAAGGCTGTCTCATTAGAGACTTTAATATATTAGGAGAAACATTGGGAGCGTAAGCAAAATTTGATGAAGTTACATTCCACTCCTTTTCAATACGGTAGAAAATTCGTAAAAGAATACTTTTTATTTATTACAGATGTCGTTATCCACCGTATTCCGATAAAAAGTTATCTTTCTTAGAGTTCTTAATGGCAAAACGACCCAGCATACCGGGAATTAAGTACGTTCCATATCTTTTAGCATTTGGTCTGGGAATGCTTGTCACCTTTGGTATTTCGACCACTATAAAGGTATACAAACTAAAGCGTATTATGTAATGCATTTTTTCTCATCTGCAATCATCTAGGCAGTATTCATTATCGCACAAAGTATTGCCACATAAAATATACCAAATTTTAGAGAGTCTAGAAGTTCGATGTACATTGAAGCATAGTACAATTTTCAAATTATACTATTAAATTTTTATATATATTTTACATGTATCAAGTTTAGTATTACATTTACGTGTAAAAATGTTGATTATAATACAAAGTTGAAACGTAAAATAATTACGCATAATTAATGAATGTTATCGTTTATCGTGTTAGTCTTGACTGATTCTGAATAAAACCAAAGCATGTACCAAATATATGCAATTACTGGAAGCTGAATAAAGGCAATAAGACTTACTACGTAAATCATGATTATCTTGTTTCTTCCTAACCAATTATGTTCGTTTTATTAATACATGCAAATACTTTTTCAGATTCAAGAAGCAAACAAATAATGGAGTCCTCACGATATTTTTACTTTTACTTGTTAAAGATTATAAATTTTAGAATCTTATTTATGTATAACTTTTACAGCTAAGTTTTTTGTTGTTTTTATACACGATATTTTTATGAAAATAGATAATATATTGGCGTAGCTTTTCTATTTCAGTGTAGAATAGTTTATTAGATCTATCATCTTGATACTGCATATTATTCCTAGAACATTGATTATATGAATAATCAGGGAAAAAGAATTTCGTTGATCTGACTACGTATTAACCTTTTCGCTACGGCGGCCTTATTCGCGAATGTGTTACCACGGTACGGGAGAGTCCCAATGCGGAGGCACTTGTTTTACTGCGACCTAACCGATTCTACGAACGTAACTTTAATAGCTAGTGGCGTATTGTAATTTATTAATTCCTTATTCTAATTGTAATACATATAATATATAAAATACAATACAATAATATATAATACATAAAACAAAATATACCAAAGTTAAGAATCGATGCGAAATTTTGATGGGTGACTATAGTCACAGCTAGTAACGAAAAGGTTAATTTGCAACGAATAGTACTATTTTTATATGCGTTTATATGCTGCAATATTAAATTCAGATAATCGCTGTTCTCATGTCACGAACATTGAATATAGACTAATGAAGGGTAAAGTAATACAAAAATTCTAAAAAAACAAATCGTATTTTCATGACACCAATATCTCTTTAACATTATAATTAATTATATGGTTTGTACTCTTATAACAACACTATATTTTTTTAAAATTGCAATGACATTTATCGGAGTTTTATAAATATTACATGGTGTATACAAAAAATGTACAAATCTGTTGTTTTGTTGATTAAATATATAAAAAACGCAAGCATTCTGCTATTTCCAATGTATAACAATTGTTACATACTGTTTATAATACAATATTATGAATAAATTACATATAAAAGAAGAATTTTGGCATTTAATAAATACTAGAGTTATATATGGAAAGTTCTCTGAAGAAAAAGTACTTTTTTTTAAATATAACGTTCTAATTATTTTTTTATGTAACAATTATCATAAAAAAATAGGTACGTATTATTAATGTTGTGTAATGTTGTGTATATATATATATATACACATGTATATATTATCTGCCCCGCCGGGACAGATAAAGATGTTCTTCATAATGCTACTACAGGTATGACATTACCGAAACATAAAGTCATAGTTTTGTAATGTTTCCAAAACATTGTCCAATTGAGTAACCTCGCCCTGTTGTACATCGGGTGTCGCTAATGCCGGTGACATGTAAAACTTGGAAGCTGATTCTCGATAATAATTTACGCAAAAGCCACAAGTATGCAGTGTTTTGAAAACATCTCAATGTCAGCTACAAGAATACATAATTAAAAATATATGTTTCCATTTAAAAACTTTAACATGACCTTTACAGGGCTTTTCAAGGTCATTGCAAGGTTAAAAAAATATCAGAACAATATATCGCCTTTTATACCCTACAACTTTCGTCCGAAAAATTTTTTGTATCATTCGTAGTTTTGAAGATATTTCTGTGTTCTGAGATAAACCGGACATACTGTGCATAGACAGGGTGTCTTACCTGATTTTCTCGCTATTATTACTCATAGTGAAAAATGTTTCAGATAAAAGTACAATGGTGTCAAGGGGGGACATATTCTGGTGTTATTAGTTCTTCTATGAGCACGTAACTTTAATAGCTAGTGGCGTATTGTAATTTATTAATTCCTTATTCTAATTGTAATACATATAATATATAAAATATAATACAATAATATATAATACATAAAACAAAATATACCAAAGTTAAGAATCGATGCAAAATTTTGACGGGTGACTATAGTCACAGCTAGTAACGAAAAGGTTAATTTGCAACAAATACGTTATACGTTTCTTTTTTAGTAAAAGAGTAATGGTGTTTTAGAATTATTTAAATTGAAATATCTCCTAAACTACAATTAACTTCCCGACATAAATAGGTTAATACGTTTTTATAGAGAATGTCGAGCTGCATCGATTGATGTATTAAAGAATACATAATTCCATTTAAAAGAACAAAGTTGACCTTTATCTAACCTTTACGCATCTAGTCGTGGAAGAACTAATAACACCAGAATATGCTTCCTTTGACACCATTTAACTTTCATCTGAAACATTTTTCGCTATGAGTAATAATAGCGAGAAAATCAAGATGTCAAAATCAGGTGAGACACCTTATGTATACATATATATATGTATAATAATGATATTAGACGAAAACGAACGATACGGAGAGAAATATATTTTTATGCATGAAAAAAAGTGTTTACATATTTATTGATAATAAAGTTGCTAACGTACATTATATATTATCAAAGATTTGTTCATATGTGTAATTAGCACAGTTTTGAAAATACTAATTTTTCACTTATAATGTAATATATACATGTTATGCAATGTTTATGGAAAGTCGAATTCAGTATCAGCATCTTAAATATATTAATAATATGTCCAATATGGTATTGAAGTACTTTTTCGTATCTTACTGATCATGGCAGTTCATCTGCATAAACATATTTATCAACCAAAAGGTTAGCATAAGTCACAGTTCAATTTCTTACCACTGAACTATTGTTTCCAGGTGGCTGACATCTCTCCCCCTTGAGTACTATCACGTTGTGGACTCTGAAATAATATTAAAAAAAGAGAAAGTCATTTCTTTATTCTTAGTAGCATGTAAAAGCGGCGAATATAATTACCTTCACTTGAATTTGTTGCTTCAACATTGCAGTCCTTAATATCAACATGCGCGTACGTCTTTGATATTCCTTTCCAACGCTCATAGATTTCTCAAAAGTTGTGCTACGTTGATCGACATCTTTTGCATACAAAATCTAAACACACATAATAAAGTACATTAAACGCTGGTTCGTCGTGAAATCATTAAATAATGGTAATGGTAATTAATTACTTTGTTATGAGAATCTATACGAGCTTGTATCTGACCATCAAGAATTAATTGCATGAGCTCGTCCTCTAACTCTGGGACCGTCCTGTTAAAAGCAGTTGCCATACGTCTCATATCCGCGCTCAAATATGGACTGAAATACTGTATTAATGCTCTATTTCGAATTTGTGTATATAATACATTGACGTGCGGTGCTATGTACATATCTAGAAGTATGTTATCTTTTATTTCATCCAGTAATTTTAAACATGATGCATATTTTGACTCGTAGAATTTAAAGATGATGTCTCTTAACTGTGGTTCCAATTCTAGGAACAATTTAAAGGAACTGCTAAAGATGACTTGTTTCTGTAATTCATGTCTATCAAATGTGGCCAAAGCGCAAAGTCCACCATACAAAGCAACATTTCCAGGAGACAATAGTTCAGGGCAATCACAGTGATCCAACGACGCTTGTAAAAAGTGTCTCGCGGCCATCTTATATTTTCTTGTTGCTAAGTCCGCTAGGCCAGCGGCGACTTTTAATTTTGTAATTATAGATTGGTTGTTATCTTTGGCATGAACATCAGAAAAATCTGGTGTACTTTCAGCCTTTGTTACATAGCTCAGTACATGAGCCCAATTTTGTAAATAAACAGAGACTTTGATAACATTTAAACACATATTAACAACATGTTTGCCACTGGTACAATAATCCCTTGCTCTGGAATAACATTTCAAGGCATGAATAAGGTCTCCACAATCTAAATAATGATCTCCTAGATCGTCATGACCTCTTCTGATGCTTTCTTTAATTGAGTTACTTCTATAATTTTTAAGGTCTGTATCAAATTTTTCTAATTTTAAGGCAGCTTTTTTGGAGCGAGAATCAACCCAAGCTTGATCTAAGGTTAACATGTCCTGAGACGTTGATTGTGCTGCAACATCTGGCAATCCAAGTGATCCTACAGCTTCTACTAATTTTTTGTGTAATATCACATAAAGGGAAACATTATATGTTGTCATCACATAAGATATAGCCATTTTCAATGCTTCTATCCTTAACATTGGACAATGATCAGCTATATATATAAGCCTATATAATTTGGCAAGACCTGTGTAGCTGTTAGCATAGACTTCCAAATCCTAAACAAAATACAATAAAAAATTATAAAAATCATTTGCTTCACAAGATTTAAATTAATTAAACAAATTCCTAAAAGTTATTAGGTTTATCAACCATCAAGCATTCGTGGTTAATATTGATAATGTAATACAGAAGTAAAATAGTTAAAAAGAAATAATGCATACTAGTGTTGGATTTTCAACAATATATGGCTCTTCTTCTGAGTTGTCGTTGTCTTCTGCTGAAGCATCGACTTGCATAGGCTCCACAACATTTTGCTGCATACACATAATATCATCAGACACATAATTACATTTCACACAGAAAGTTTTATAATTTTCTTTACTTTAAGCTCATTATAGTAACAAATACGCAAAAAAAATTGTAATATAATAAAATTAATAAAAAAATGTCAGGAAATCGACATAACAAATGTATTATAGAAAAAGAACATAACATAAAAACGATCAACATTTGAATTCCTCATGAACCTTGTCTTTGTAAAATACACTATTTGTAGAAACAATTGTTGCGTGCTGCTTTAAAAAATTACCTGAACGTCGTGTACTTGCAACGGCATGACAACGTTCTCCTTTATGTTACAGCCGAGAAATTATGAAGGAAAACAAAACTTCAGGAGAGCAGTATGTAACAGAGAACCGAACATACACATGTATGGCCGGTGCAGTGTAGGCAACTTGGAGCAACTAAACATTTTCCATTGTCACAATTTTGTTTAGACGAATTTTCATTTACACAAAAGTTATGCTGACATTCATCGATATGCATTATAATCTCGAGTAAATAAATAATTGTATAATTTTATATGTTATACGCTTTAAAAATGAATTTTAATTAACTTAAGCGCATATTTTACTCTAATCGTTGCGTATAATGAAAAGCTTCTATTGCTTTACATTACATCAATAATTTTTAACTAACATTTCTTCTACCCTGATAGCATAATGAATTATGCAAGGGAAGACAATCTTTTGGAGCATTATAAAAATTTCTCAACTTAAACAAACCCTATTCATAGCCAAAAATTTTAAACACTCGCGTCAGCGTATTGATCAATCGTGACACGAAACTTTCTATTTTTTCTTCGATCGGATCGAGTACTTTCCTGGAATTACGAAATTACAATGAAAGATTTTCGATAACACCCCTAGAATGTATAGTTAGATTATCGATAACATTTGCAACAACGTTAATCATACTTCAATGCGTTAATATTTCATTACAATGTACATTAGATAGGTTTCAAGGCTGGACTAATTAATTTCTTCTACGATAATTAATTTTCTCCAGTCTATAGAATGTGTCGTTCGAATGAAACGTAGAAATGCATTTCTCGGTGCCAAATGTGCCTGTTATTTCCCGTGCCGATTATGCGTGCCCGTGTAAAAATAATCATCGTCGAGGCCGATTAAACGCATTTGAGCCTCGACCGTATCTAGTATGCGAAACACAAATTCACGCTGGCCCGATATTTCGGTAACGTGAGAACACACCTTTGCACGTTCCTTGTGTTTCACAGGGAACGCAGAAAGTGTGTGGTCGATACGATCGAACGGTAACGATTAGAATGGAACGTAGCTAAGCTACCTGGTTCCAGAAGAAGCGTGTCTGTCTAGTAGTCGTGTCCAATATGGCGTGTGTATTGTGAATTGCATTAACGTGCAGGTAAGAGTTGGCTAGATTTTTTTCGATTTCCGTGCGACAGATAAATTAAAGAAAGTAGATCCGCGCACTTTGAGATCGTCAATTTTTCCGATTCTACGTATTTTTATTCGCGGGCCGTCGGATCAAGCGTTAACAGAACTTTTTCCTAAAAATATGTGAACTTTGTCAACCTTTGCACCTTCAAGGTCCGTTTATCGTAGTGCATTCGCGATGACAGGTGTGTCGTGTGGAAATTGTGCGCTTTCGATTAAATTATTTCGCAAGAAATCGTGAATCCGCATAAGACAAAAGAAAAAAAATCAGTTTTTAACGGGGTTTCACTGCACGATAACATTCGTTGTTGGCAACTGTTGTTCGGGCCTGAGCAGAATACCTATGTAATTAGGAGAATTGGAGCAGGAGTTGCAAAAACAAGTTTTAATTTGTGTAAAAATGCATTTTCTAAATTGTGTAGATTATTTATTACTTATAAGTGTGTTTTAAACACGATATTAAATAATATTAATAAAGTTCATGCAACAACGTGTGACAAGTACTTTGACACACTGTTGAGTATATCATAGAAATGGAGCAAATATTACGAAATCTTCATTTCTGGAAGATTTACGTAAGCAGTTTCATTTATTTATCTTATTAAAAGTACTATAGAATACATTAAAAAGATATGTATGTGTCAAAATATAAATAAACAGCACTGGATCAACACATGTGAGTGCCCCCAGCTGATTAATAATTTAATCAGTTTTCAAAGTGACATTTTTTATAACATTTACTGTGAGATTTATTATTCAAGTGATTGTAATGTAATACTTTCCACATTTTTTTAAATTACTCCAATTTTTTGACATTTTAAAAAATATAAAAATTTATTAAATTTTGTTTCCATAGGTTCTGCTCCTGCCTCTGGTGCAATTATCTATTGGGGATAAAGGGAATGAGATAAATACTGCAAATTTGTAGTAAAACAATGTACAATGAACTACAGTGGGAATATGCCAGATTGGCACCAATATAATGCCTCGCAGACAAATGAAGTAACACCTCCTACGCAAAATGTGAATTCTGGTCACCTGGCATTCATTCCTGGTGTTAGTCCACCAACACTGAATGCAATTAGTCTGAGCACACAGGGTCTTAACAAGCATCAGAATGATGCCAACTATAATACAAGAAACTTTCAGTCCTTTAACAATGTCTCGAGTGGCCCAAACATTCCTAACAACAGCCCCCTTGCATCCATGGTGCAAATGCAGAACTGCATTGGTCATTATGGTTCTCCAAATACGAGGAATACTATGATAGATAACATAAATACTTCTGTGGATCCTAGGAACACTGCAATTGGAGCTATAAATGATGAAATGGGATACAGAAGTAGTCAGGTGCCTTTCAATGGACCTATTGGTCACTTAAGTGGACCAAGTTGCAATATAAATGTATCATCTGGACCTAGCTCAGGATCTGGACCTATTCCTGGACATCAAACTAATCCTGGACCAGGACTTGGAACTAATCCAGGCAGTGGAACAGGTTCTATATATGGACCCGGTTCCAGGCATGGATCTGCAACAGGGCCTGGATCAGGCTCTGGACCTGGAAATATAGGACCAAGAAATACTAACATGGGTTCGGTACCACCTCCAGGCAAACCTGGACCACCTCCTTCATTCATCCCTTGCAAGGGTCTGTGTTGTAACTCGGATCCTAATATTAATTATCAACAATGGGAAAAGTTTGGATCCTATCAGAATAACACTTCCTACAGGGATAATGTACACCCATCTACCTATCAGATGGAAAATAGACATTTTGGAAATAATTGTAATTTTAGAAAAGATAATCTAGAAGGTAAAGAAGTAATGGGTTCCGTGTTGCCCAATGCATCAGCGGTAGATCATAGACGAAATTTCGCTGATTATAAGTATCACAAGGATCATTTAGTGCATAGAAATTACTCAACATCCTCGGGAATGTTCCACAATTATCCTATGCAAGGCTACAATTACTCCACAGATCATCAGAAGTACCCTTATCCCATGAAAGAGCATACGAAAACGAATAACATGAACATTTCAAATTCGGGGATGCTCAAACATCAAGAACAAAATTTCATTGCTCAACAAAAGTACAATAACAAACAGTACCAATACCAAAATGGTAATATACTACCCAAAGGCGTATCTACTTTAAATGTAAACGCGAACATGATGTCGTCCTCTCAAAATCCTTACTTTAATTCACAATTTCCGAGAAACATTCCCACAGAGATGTCCCATGAGTGTCAAGAAACCACAGACAACACAGCAATGATAAACAGAATGCAAAATACTTTCATGCATACCTCTCCTCCACAGCACCAGGTGTACCAACACAAAATAGCAATGCAAAAATTTTCAATGGAGAATCACCTTAGAGAATTCAGTAGGATACCTGGCTATCAAGCTCATCCAAAATATAAAGAGTATGTTCTCAGATACAGGGAAGTGTTGAAACTGCAGCAATCAACTGGTTACCAAAATTCAGTGCAGCAAGCCTCGCGTGTTGCAACACCAGTAAACACCACAGTACCGCCTATTAATTTACAATTTGATCAAAATGGTATGTTGATAAATTCCAGTTATCTACCTGATGGTTTCCCTAAATTGCAGCATACAGCATCTATAGAGCAACCATCTGAGAGTATGGGCAAGCAGAACAAGGATCAAACTATTACCATGGCTAACGAGAAGTGTCAGCAATCACGGCAGTCAGAACAGTTAATGGTCCCCCAGCAAAGTGAGCATGTTCCTTCCTCTTGTGCAGAGACGTTTCAAAAGCAAAACCAGTTCTCTATGCACAAGGACTTCAATCAAAATCAGTTGAAAGTACAAACGAGCGAGAGTCATAGTTTCGATACGTTAAGCACTGACACTAGCAGAGAAACGATGATGCAACAAAAAGCCTCAAAAGAATTTGCTAATAAACCAGATCTGGACGTCAGACAATTTCTGGCAAATTGGGATGAAACAGATGACGAAGAGGGAACAACGACGAACCTGCCGGATGCTGTTTTAAGTGAGACGACTCCAGTCGTTGTGGTAAGCTACGAGAACGTAGATCTTTCATCAAAAACGCCATCAAAAGCGTCAAAAAGAAGTAGTTTTTGTTCGAATGAAGCCTTGGAAAGTGGGAAAGAACGTGAAACAAATGTAATAACAGCTCAAGACTGCTTAACGATTTCCTATTCATCTGACAATTCTGAGCTTACCAAGACCACTAAAAGAACAATTGGAGAGGGCGTGGTGAAGCCTGGAAGCATTATACACTGCATCAGCAATGGTCCTGATGAAATACCCACGATTCACATAGTAGATAACTTAGAGATAAGCAACATCCTAGGAGCGTCCAATGATCAGGTTATACAAACATTAGAGAAGCAAAAGACAATATCGTTTTTCAGTGAAAATAGTAATAACGAGACAGATAACATGGCTCTGGAAAATGCAGAGCAGCAGGACAAAGCTGAAACACGTGTTCTGCCCGCCAATTATGGTGCATCTTTGGAGGACGTGAATAAGGATACAAGTATGGAAGATTCTGGTATTTCTGAAACTATTCAGACCACCACGGTTTCAGTGCTACCGACTTCAGGACAAAAGAACAACGTAGACGTTACTGATAACATAGAGTTAAAAAAGCAAAATAGCTTTGAAGAGACCCATAATCCTGATGATATTAGCCTACCAGATCTACCAACGTCAGAGTGCACACCGATCTCCACTACTCTAAATACTCCAATTCATTCTGATAGCGAAGACTCTTCACAGAACATGGAGGATTTGTCTATATCGACGAATCCAATAGAAGTGATGCAGAACAGTCCAGTGATCAGTTTCACGCAGTTGAACAGTGAAGAGAAAGTGAAGAATAGATCTTTGGCTAGTTTGGACCTGGAGTTTCAGAAGGAAAATCGTTATAAAAGCA